TGAGTAGGATGAGAAACCCTCATCTAAAAGCTGATTAACATATTTAAATACCTCATATAACATCCCATACTACTCTACGTGAGATTAAGCATCTCATATCATCTTAATCTCCATCAATTGGCCCTCTTTAGAGAGCTAACATCCCAGTGGCTGCAATTTGTGACACTTTACTTGTTATAACACTTAACTTTCCAAGGCAGTCCTTTCCACTGCTTGGGACCCTTGAAGGCAGCCCTTTCCAAGGCTGATAGGATCGAAGATAGGGAGAGAGGAATAAGGAAGATAAATATCGATTAATATATGAAATTAGAATCTAACTTCATAATATTAATAAGAAAACATAGAATTGATGGAAGAAAATAGAAGGAATAAATCTGTTAAGATGATATCGAACAAGAATCGTTCTATACTCTTCTCAATAGCCACGCTTAAGAGAATTTCCAAAGACCTAAAAGTATCAAAAGTTTGTTTTATTATATGTCTGCTTCTAAATTGCTAAGTATATTTGTAATGCCAAATACAATTTAAAATAGTGAATAAAATCTAGATACCTAGATAATTAAATAAAATCTAAAGAACTAAATATCTAAATAAAACCTAAATGAATAGATATTTGAATAAAATATCTAAAAAAATAATTCAAAATTTAAAATAATGATAATTAAATAAAACTCAATTCAATGGACTCTTAACAAAGACTGTGGAAAGCCAGGCTCTGATAGTAATTGATAGGCATTTGGGATGGGGAATCCTCCTGCAAAATCATGCTATAGAGGGGAAAGAACCAATTTCTTGGTGGTGAAACCTATTACATTTACGGCATGTGACACATAGATGTGAAGTTAAGCACGTTTTAGTATTTATTTTGGAACCTCTGCTTCTGTGAATTTTGATCCCCCCCCCCCCCGCAAAAAAAAAAAAAACCACATAATGAAAAGATTAGACCAATCCACTTAAATACCTAATAGAACGTCTCATGCTATTCCATGGGAAACGACTACATTTACAGCATGCGACCTATTGTTGGATGCGGAGTTAACAAGGCTTTAGTATTTATTTAGTAACTATTGATTCTTTGAATTTTGATTGCTCCCCCACATTCTACCACATGATGAAAAATTAAAGCACTAGGACTTTTGGTAAAGCCCTTGCGGCTATATTTTCACCCCTTGTGGTGCAAGGCCTTGGGTTCAATCCTGCCCAGCAAGAGGTTTTGCTTGCCAACTCCAAAAAAAAAAAGGAAAAGAAAAGAAAGAAGAACTTCTGTATAAGCCAAAAAAAAAAAAAGAACTTCTGTGTAAGCCGGCCCATTGTCACAAGATCCTAATCTCTACCTGACTTCTTAGATGGGCAAACAATTTAAAATACATGACAGTGAGTTGCTAACTTCCAAAATGACATGGCTCAACCAATGGGACTAAATGTTGGATTAGTAGGTCTTGTCATCAGACATCAGTTTTTCTGTAGCTTTGTGCATTTCTGTATGTCAGCATTTTGTCTCACTCTTGTTGGTCTTTCATATGTTTTGATTGGAAATTGCAGTTGAGTTCTCAAATCATTACCTTTGAGCATGAGGGAAGCTGGGGAAAGGCACTTGAGTACTATGACTTGCTTGTAAGATCAGATGTTTCAAAACTGGATGATGGCAGTTTTTTAAGTTTGCCATCAGATCACACCCAAGCAGCAGATTCTTCATCTATTTCCACAAAAGTTGAAGAGACAAGACAATTCAAGCCTTACAAAGGGCTGATTAGATCATTACAGCAGATTGGATGTACACATGTACTTGACTTGTATTGCCATGGGTTAACATCAAGGAATGACCGGCTTCAGCATGATTTAGAGTTCGCTGAATTGCAGTATGAGGCTGCCTGGCGTTCTGGGAATTGGGATTTCTCTTTACCATATATAGGAGCTAATTCTACTCCTTTTACTCAGAATATCAAATGTGATCATTTCAATGAAAATCTGCACAGGTAATTAGCTTAAGAATCTATATAGTACACTTAAATGAGTAACAAGTTCTGAATTCTAAAAATTTTTATCCTAAAAAATTTGCCTGATTGCATCTAACTATTCTCATGTCTAGTTGTTTGAGGGCGCTCCAGGAGGGTGATTTGAGTGACTTTATTGGAAGTTGAAAGATTCAAAGAAGGTAATTTTGGTTTCCTCATTTATGTCTGTGTGCTTGAGGACTTCATATAATTACATAATTTGTATGCTTTTTAGGAGCTTTTGTGGTCTGTTTCTCAAACAAGTGAAGAGAACACACAGCACATTTTCTCAAATATAGTGAAGCTTCAGGTACCTGTTTCTCTTGTCTCTGGATCCTTAAGACCTCGACATTAAGTTTGTATTGCCTTTGGTTAGCAATTCCTTACACTGTTGATGTGCCTGACTTGAAATTGATGCTACATAATAGGAGTCGGGTTAATATTGTTGGAAGAAAAAGATGAGAAGAATGGCAGAGATATATAAGTATTAAATACCATATTTTATAACATTTCTGCTCGAGTTGGGTTTAGATATTAATCTTTATTACTAGTTTTTGATCAGGTTAGGAGCTTCAGTGAAAATGTCAGCTTGTTCTACAGTCTTAGCTCCTAACAGCTTGGAAAAAGAAGTACTTCTTGTAGCTTCTAATGAAACAAAAGACAGCTTTACTTTGTTCTCTCATAGAGCACCAGGTTTTAAGCCATGTGAATAGCAGCGGCATAGTCATCACACCACACTGTTTCTCTATTTTCCAAGTAACCAAGTTACTTCTAACGAATATATAAATAACCTGCCTAATATGCACCAGAGAAACCTTGTACCCTACAATGACCATGATCCTCAAACAGTTTTGCCATGTTTGGAGGCTTCTGTGAGGTGATTGATATGTGCGAACAAGACAATATACTAATTTTAAAAGATTATTTGATGCTTATATCTGTGAACAAATAAATTGGCGCTTCATAGTTTTACTATTTTACATTTCATGATTACTTACAGATGCTTTATCATCTTGGCATGGCATGGGATTTACGCTGGAGGGAATCTCAACATAGAAGTTCAAAGCTCAGTCTTGAAAAGCAAAATGTGTCTCCTGAGCCTGTAATTCCTACCATTGAACAGGTAATGAGAGCATTAATGTGTCATGCATAACACACTCACAAATGATTATGCATTTGTTGATTCTGTCTTTCCTTAGATTTTGATGCCTTGCATTGTTTTCTTCTCAACTAGTTGTCATGGCTGAATTCGGATTGGTGCTCAATTTTGGAACGGATGCAGCTGCATATGAATCTGTTAGAACCATTTATAGCATTTCGGCGGGTTCTACTTCAGATATTAAGCTGTAGAGATTATGCATTGCAACATCTTCTGCAATCTGCTTCCACTCTTCGAAAGGTACTTTGTAAGACTTCATTATCATGAAATCCCGTTTGATCCTGAAGAAAATGAGAAACAATGCTCTGTTTTATTAATTCTTTTGAATAGAAGAAGCTACATATTTGTAGCAGATTCCTAGCAACAAATCTGCTAGCGGATTCCATGAGTTAAGCAAGCATAAATTGCAAAAGTAAGTTATATAAATTCAGAAATAAAGCCTAGAATAAAAAAGGTGTGGATTTATTAATTGCAGAGTTCTTTGACTATTTACACTTAATTTGTAATAACTAGCATATAATTACAAAGGAAAATTACATTTCTGACTTGTTTAAAAAATAAACCACGGGCTTTGCATGGAACATTTTGTTGACTGGGCCATAAATGAAAGTTCATATTTGAATTTCAAGTCATAAATGAGGGGATCTGAGTCAAGTTTCAACAAATTCTATTTCTGACAGGTTGTTCTGTGTTGCTCAGGGATCTCGGTTCTCTCAAGCAGCTGCTGCATTGCATGAGTTTAAGTTCCTTTGTGTTGAAGCCAAAGGAGAATCTTCATCCATGTATTGGCTAGGACGGGTAAGTAGTTTTCCATGGCTTGTAATGTTTGTGTCGCATTTTGATGTTAGAGTTTAGAAAAGTCAGTTATTGTGTCTCTGAAGGAAATGCTTGGTTAAGTGTTGAAAAAGATTGACTAGAGAGCTTTAATCCAGAACTTTCAATATCCTTTCTAATTATAGTTCTTTTTGATTTTATATCTAATTATCATTTTTTCTTATGTACTTGCTAATTTGATATTGTTTATAACCAAATGGATTTTTTCAGAATTTTGGTTCAGGTAGAAGCTATCTTGATAGTTCATCAATGTGCCGTGACAAAGAATTTAACTATATTAGTATTGAATTTATTGTGGAAAATTTTGTCTTCTGTCAATCCAGATCCTTTATATATACAAATGTGAATCCATATAGCATATATCCAGAGACATTAGAAGACAAGAGTCAATAGATGTGAAGTTGGGATGCAGGCTTCACACACTTACATTTTTTTGTTATTCTCTCTCCAAATTATAAATGCATGAATATAGAGGATTCAACTTTGTCTTCTGCCATTAGCTGATGCTTGTATCCTTTCTGCTTCTTGCTGATAATTTGCTCAAAATAGAGTCAGCGATGGTATTTCTGTAACTAGAGAAGCTTTTGCCAGTACAAATGCAGTGTTAAAATTAAAAATTAACAAAATGCATGTAACTCCAAAAATAATTATCAATAATTGAATATTAACTGTACAGTGGTGTCAGTTCTTAATTGTTTATATAATATAATATATTGACACATAAATATGGAAGATTCAATTTAATCTGTAGTTAACTTATGCTTGTGTCATGTCTGCTTCTTGCTTATAACTTGCTCAAAAGTAGAGTCAGCAATGATATTATTGTAACCAGAGAAGCTTCAAGCTTCATCTGCACAAAAACACAGGTATTAAAATTTATTAAAAAAATTGCGTGCATCTCCAAGAAATAATGGACATAATTGAATAGTGATTTTATAGCAGTATGATATTTTAACTTTATATAATATATTAATGTATTAATTGGTTTTACTAATTGTATCTGAGTATTGTAGCTTCTTTATGGCAGCTTGAAGAAGCAAAGCTTTTGCGAGCTCAAGGTCAACATGAGATGGCTATCAACCTCGCAATGTATATTTCAGGGAACTATGGGTCTAATAATGAGGCTTCTGATGTATATCGGTTGATTGGGAAGTGGCTGGCAGAAACCAGATCTAGCAAGTTATTAAACAAATCCAATTGCATATCATTCTTATAATTAGCTTCTTTTTAAAAAGCCTAAATTCACGCTTTTTATTTTGCTGGCTCTAATGAATGCAGCTCTAGAACAATTTTAGAGAAGTATTTGAAACCTGCAGTCTCAATCACTGAGGATGTGTACTTTACTGATGAGAAGTCCATAAAACGGAAATGTCAGACTCATTTTCATCTTGCACATTATGCTGATGCGCTATTTAGGAGCCATGAAGAAAGACTCAACTCTAGTGAGTGGCAAGCAGCAATGCGGTTAAGGAAACATAAGGTACCATGCTCAGTGACCCAATTTAACGGACAGCCATCATAGTGAAATATGAATTGTGGGTGTTATTATTATTACTTATGTGCAGAAAGTGGAGTTGGAAGCTCTTGTTAAAAGATTAAGGAGCTCAAGAAAGGTAGTCCTAGGCCAGCTATTCATTTGCTTGACTGGTATTTTGAGGCTCTAACTCGTCTGAGACATAATTTAGGGGGAGAAGACTGACTGTTCCTTGAAAATACAAGAACTGCAAAAGCAAGTAGCAATGGATGAGGAAGAGGCTCAGAAATTGCATGTATTCATTGTTTGATCATTTATAATGGTTAAAAGAGTCCCTAGACTTTTTAACATTTTACCCTGATGTCTTGTCATATTGACATTTGCATGTCACTAAATGATCGGTTTGCTTCTTTTTCTCCTCCTGTTTATTAAGCTTGGCTGTGTCAGAATCACATGGGTTGAACATAACTCTTCTATTTCTTTACTTTCTATATCACCCAGGATGACCGAGACAATTTTCTTAGCCTGGCTTTGGATGGATATAAACATTGTTTAGTCACTGGGGACAAGTATGATGTGAGAGTGGTATGGAAATTCTCTTACCTCCTTTGTAACTAATAGAGTAGTACTGCTGAATTTTTTGAAGGAACTATATATGTCATTAAGTAGTTTGATTTTCTTGGAGAAACTCTTGCTTTCAGGTGTTTCGTCTAGTTTCCTTGTGGTTCAGTCTCTCTTCTCGAAAAAATGTAGTGAATAGTATGCTTAGCACAATTGATGAGGTACACAGTGAAGCAAAGCTTTGCACATGAGTTAGTGTTCTATGTTTCTTTAATATGATTGTAGTGGATCTTGTTTGGTCTGCATCTGAATGAATTTCCAGGTTCAGTCTTTTAAATTTATACCTTTAGTGTACCAAATTGCATCTAGAATGGGAAGCTCAAAGGACGGTCAGGGAACTTACGATTTCCAGGTCTGGAAATTTTTACCTTTTTACATTTTCCAGTTTTTCTTTTTATTCCTAACGCAAATTATGGACAATACAGTGTGCTTTGGTGTCTCTCGTGAAGAAAATGGCCATTGATCATCCATACCATACAATACTGCATGTATGTTAACTTTATGTTTTTCCTTCTATCATCAAGCAGTTTCATTGCATGTTCAATTTTGTTCTATTTGTTTTTCAACATTATGTCTTTATGATTCCAAATTTTTAATTGGGGGAAGCAAAAAACTTCCTCGGTCCATCTGGTAGTATCTTGACCAGTGCCAAGCTGTGTCATTCGTGTGCGAACCTGTAATTTCTGGTATGGAGAAGGGAGAAGGGAGAAGGTACTCTTGTTTAATCAATCCTGAAAAATTCTTCACACTAGAACAACACACCGACCTCTTCTGTATATTTCTAAGGTCCTAGCTAGTCGGAGGCAGTTGTGGACCCCACACCTCATATGGATGGATAATTAAAAACCAGAAAAACAGAATAATAGAATGCATGCTAAGACTCAAATACCCAGAAAACAAAAACTCCTGATGTTTGAGATACTGGGAGATATCTAGTGGAAACTTTCCTGAACCCTCCTTGACACGTCTCTTAATTAGTTATTCAAGGTTACTTCCTCCCCTGCCCCTCTCACCCGTGCAATTTTTCCTCTGGGCTTTCTTGCCCTTTCTTTTCCCCTTTTAAATGGACATTCCCAGTTTCCCACTTATCCTTGGCTCCATCAGTATGTTTTCATGCATTGTCGCTATCTTTACTCAGCAAAAGGGAAATGATTTTCTTTATCTGATGTTTACATCAGCTGTTGGGTCTGGCAAACGGTGACCGTATCAAGGACAATCAGCGTAGTAGGAGTTCATTTGTGGTTGATATGGACAAAAAGCTTGCGGCAGAAAAACTTCTAAATGAGCTATCGTCTTATCATGGAACTATTATCCAACAAGTAATGTCAATTTTTTGTCGTTTATCTTCTTAAGGTCTGATTTTCTGTATATTATGCTCAAACTTTTTTTGTGCCCCATCTTCATAGACAAGGCAAATGGTGGAGATTTATATCAAGCTTGCTGAGATGGAAACAAGGAGAGAGGTTGAGTGATTATTTATTTATTTTCCATATTTCATTCATTATTGCAAAAATATATTTTTTTCAAAATTAAACCTTTCCCACAATCTTCCAAAACTTGTCCAAATTATTTACATTTGACAACCATCTCATCAGACCATTATGCAGGATACCAATAAAAGGGTGAGTCTACCGAGAGAATTACGTAGTGTTCCAGCACTGGAACTTGTGAGTGCAGCGCTCTACTTGCTGAGTTTCTTTGTTTGTGATGAAAACTTTTTTAAGGTTGATTTGATGATTGGCTGGTTGTGCAGGGAGAATTCATATTATAGTTTGTGTTGTCTTATGGTGGTATTATAGGAATTCAAACTGGAATGAATACTATATTTTAATAATGCTGTTGAGACAAAAACATGAACAACACCCTTGAGACACATACAGTTTTATGTTATCGTAGACAAATTGACAAAGCATAAATGATGACTCTTGTAGTACTGATATGTATCAAAAGTTGATAACTTGTCCCATAGAGATGTATAGACGTCAGCAGACAGCAGTAGGGTTTTTACAGGACGATCCTATTAACTCAAGTTAAACTTTTCTAATATTGCAGAAGGCACTTATTGACTTTGAAATTAATTATACCTAGGCTTTCTATTTGTCAGTTTCATAAGCTTTGCCTTTTTCCTCATGTTAAGCATTTATCAGAGAATTATCCTTATATGGTGTGTGAATATTTGGTCCAACATATTTGTCAATCTTGATATGTGTTCCTTGCAATTGAAGCTATGTTTTGCTCAAGAATTTTCTGTTTTACTTTGGGAATTCAGGTACCTGTAGTCACAGCTACTGTTCCAATCGACTATAGTTGTCAGTATCATGATGGAACTTTTCCTTATTTCAAAGGACTAGCAGAGTCAGTCATGTATGTCTAACCATTTGTGACAATCTCAAATATTTCCTCAGCATGCAATTTCTGCTGCTTAAATTTCATGTTTGTCTCTAATGCAGGATAATGAATGGTATAAATGCTCCAAAAGTGGTTGAGTGCCTTGGATCTGATGGTTGCAGGTATCGACAACTTGCAAAATCTGGAAACGACGACCTAAGACAGGATGCTGTATGAATTCTTACTGCATTTGCTTTTTATTCTTGATGGCATATATTGCTGAAGTTTCTTGTTGAAATGTTTCCAAGTTTTCAATTTTTCGGGAGAAGTAGGAGTTCCAAGGAAGGATATTTGACAAATCTATTAAGTCTACAGTTTTTGTTATTTTAGGGTTTGCTAAATGTAGAAATTTAAAACCCCTACCTATTGATTTAGATTTTCATTTTAAAATGAAGTTATTCCGTCAAATATAGAACATTGCAGAGAATACTTGCGCACCTGTACAGCCCATAAGCAATATAGAATTCATCTTCCAATGCATGAGTAATAAAAATACTATTACAAACGCCCATATACTCCCTCCATCCTTTTTTATAAGATTTTATTTGGGCAAAGTTAGTTGTTGTCTGAAAACTTTTACTTCCTTTCCAGTTCTACCTTCCATTTCCAGATGTTCTCTCACAAAAGACACATTGCATTTATTAAATTTTCATTGTATAAAAAACTGAAGCTGCCAGCTTTCTAATTGACGATAGAATGAGGAGGAACGAGAGAAGGGAGAAACAGAGTGATCTTCGACAAGGGAGGAGAAAAGGTGGGGAGAGAAATAGGAAGGGAGGAGGGAGATACAGAAAGAAAGTAGGGAGAAATTGAAGAACTTGAGGGAGAGAGAACTCAAAAAATTTAATATTTATTCAACTTGAAGATCTGACAATTGAGAGAAGCTTAGTGCTAATAAATTTAAAAGAGTATTTAAAACAACTCAATCCTAAATAGGATAAGATAATCCTAAATACCTTATTCTAATATAAAGAAAATCTAACTTTTTAAAGATAAGATAAATTCTAAATTCGAATTAAAATCCTAAAAACATAGTGTAGTGAATGAGCCGAGAAACTCTTGTATTTACATCTAAGGTATGCACGAGAGTATATACAGGAGAGAAAACAATCATATCTCCGAGAATAATGGAGATTGATTCAGAGGAGGAGAAATAGGAAATAATCTCGTAAAAAACCTCCTACTCTTAACTACCCGGTATCCCACAAAATAATAACATATATTTACATTGAATATAATAAATACTAGGTCTAACCACACTCCCCCTCAAGTTGGATCATAGATACTAATCATGTGCAACTTGCTTATACACCTATCAAATGCTGTTCTTTGTAATCCTTTGGTGAGCACATCAGCAGCTTGGAGTCTTGCTGGCAGATAAATGAGACAGACGACTCCTTCTTCAACCTTTTCCCTTATAAAATGTCTGTCAATCTCCACATGTTTGGATCTTTCATGCTGAACTGGATTTAGAGCCATACTTATTGCAGCTTTATTGTCACAATAAAGCTTCAATGGGGAATCAATTTTGACATGTATCTCATCCATGACTCTTTTTACCCATAGTACCTCTGAGATGCCTTGAGCTAGAGCCCTTAGTTCTGATTCTGCACTACTTCTTGAGACCACTCTTTGCTTCTGACTCTTCCAAGAAACTAAATTTCCCCATACGAAGGAACAGTAACCTGATGTTGACCTCTTATCCTTGTATGTTCCTCCCCAATCTGCATCTGTATATATTTCTATAGATCTTAGGTTTTGTTTCTTAAACAGCAATCCTTTACCAGGCGTGCCCTTTAAGTACCTCAAGATTCTGTATGCAGCTTCCATATGTCTCTCTCTAGGGTCGCACATATACTGGCTTGCAACGCTTACTGCGAAAGCTATGTCTGGTCTAGTGTGAGAGAGATAAATTAGTTTACCAACTAATCTTTGGTATTTTTCTTTGTCTACTGGCTCATTCTTTTCTTCTTCTTCTTCTTCTTCCTCCTCCTCACAACCATCTTTCTTGGATTCAACTCCATTTGCCTCACCTTCCTGATTTTCCTTCAGTTTCTCCTTTTTTTTCTTAACAACAATGGATGTGTCTACAGGTCTACATCCCAACATGCCAGTTTCGGCAAGTAAATCAATAATATATTTTCTTTGGGACACATAAATCCCTTGCTGTGACCTTGCAACCTCCATACCTAGAAAGTACTTCAAGTTGCCTAAGTCTTTCACTTCAAACTCCTTTCCCAGAGCCCTCTTTATTCTATCCACCTCCTCCTTATGATCACCTGTGACAATTATATCATCAACATATACAATGAGGATACATCTTATTTCATTTTCCCTCTTCACAAACATAGTGTGATCAGCCAACCCCTGCTTATACCCTTCAGCTCTCAAAACTGTTGAGAATCTATCAAACCAGGCTTGAGGTGATTGCTTTAACCCATACAAAGATTTTTTCAGCTTACACACTTGATTGGTTCTCCCTTCCTCAAAACCTGGTGGTAAAGTCATGAAAACTTCTTCATTTAGGTTACCATTTAAGGAGGCATTCTTTATGTCTAGTTGATGTAGGGGCCAGTCCAAGTTTGCAACTACAGAAATCAAAATTCTGATAGTGTTAAGCTTGGCCACAGGTGCAAATGTTTTTTTGTAATCCAGGCCATATGTTTGAGTAAACCCCCTTGCCACCAACCTTGCTTTCAATCTGTCTAATTTTCCATCAGCATCATATTTAGGGGTAAATACCCACTTACAGCTCACAATTTTCTTTCCTTTTGGAAGATCTACTATCTCCCATGTGTCATTCTTTTCTAAGGCATTTACTTCCTCCATTACAGCCTTCTTCCATTCAGGTACACTCAGTGCTTCATGCACATCATTAGGAATCTTTACCTTGTCAAGATCAGTTATAAATGCACGAAATTGTGAGGATAATGTATGGTAACTCACAAACCTCTGAATAGGATGTTGTGTGCAGGCCCTCGGTTGCTTTCTGAGAGCTATAGGTAGGTCTAACTCATCCACTTCCTCCCTTTCGGTTACTGCTTCTTCCTCAGATTCTTGAGGAAACACAGCACCTTCTACGTTCTCCGCTTCAGGAACCTCTTTCAGTTCAGATTCTGGTTGTGCGTCAGTCATAATAGTCTCCCTCTTTTTCCATTTCTTCCTTGAGTAGGTTATTGGTGTCTTGTCCAGTGCAATACCAGCATCTTTATTATATTTTGAAAGACTTTTCACTTCAGTTTCTAGCCTAAGAACCCGAGAATTTTCTGGTATAGGTAACAAAGGATCTGAGCTCGTGAACAAAGGATCGTGGATTGAGTATTTCTCACTTTCCAAAGGCTGAAGATCACTCCCTCTCTCCCCCTGAATTGAGCCATTTGGATAAAAAGGTTCATTTTCAGCAAAGGTAACGTCTCGGCTGATGTAAAGTCGTTTGGTAGTTGGGTCAAAACATTTATTCCCCTTTTGTGTGGAAGAGTAACCAAGAAAGAGACATTTGACAGCTTTGGGTTCCAATTTATGGGAATGATGAGAATGAACATAGGTGGTACAGCCAAAGATTTTGAGGGGAAGATTAGTGGTGAGGTGAGTGACAGAGTGACATTCTTGTAATTTTTCAAGCGGTGAAATATAAGAGAGAACACGACTTGGCATGCGGTTGATTAAGTATGTAGCTGTGAGAATTGCATCACCCCAAAAGAATTTAGGAACATTGTAGGTAAAGAGTAAAGCACGTGCAACTTCTAACAGGTGTTTGTTTTTCCTTTCCGCAATGCCATTTTGTTGAGGGGTATTCGGACAAGTGCTTTTATGAATAATTCCATGTTCTGTTAGAAACATATGCATGGTGTTATTGAAGTATTCAGTTTCATTATCAGTATGAAGCACTTGAATTGTGGTGTCAAATTGGTTTTTTATCATTGTATAAAACTCAGAGAACACAGAGGGAACAGAGGATTTATCTTGCAATAAGTAAACCCAACACATCCTAGTATGATCATCAATAAATGTGATGAACCACTTTGTATTAGTTCGATTAGTGACACGAGTAGGACCCCACAAATCACTATGAATGATAGAAAAAGGACGAGTAGATTTATACTCAATAGGTTTGAAAACGGATCTGTGATGTTTAGCGAGCTCACAATCAGTACAATGAAATGGAGTATTTTTATTGACTTGAAATTCTGGAAACAGACGACATAAATATTGAAAATTTGGGTGACCTAGTCTCCTATGCCATAACATAAGATCTTTAAAGTCTTTATTTTCATAGGTAGATGCGACATTGCATTGAATTCGAGACCAAAGACTACTCACGGTTGATTCGTCAAGGTAGTAAAGACCATTATGCACCTTAGCACTCCCAGTCATCTTCCCCGATGAGAGATCCTGAAAAATACAATGAGTGGAACAAAAGTGAGCCCAACAATTAGCCTGTTTAGTTAATTTACTAATGGACAGCAAATTACAGGCCAAATATGGTACATGTAGAACATGTTCTAATTTCATAGCTTCAGAGATAACAACACTGCCTGTTCCTGCTATCGACGAAGATGACCCATTTGCTGTATTTACTGTCTCATTTCCAGCACTAGGGACATAGGTACTAAATAGCCTAGAGTCTGAAGTCATATGATCAGTTGCCCCTGTATCCACAATCCATTTGAAGTTACTAGTAGAGGTAAGTAAGGCACAGTTACCTTTATGAGCCACTGACGCAGTATGATTCGGTTTCTGATTTTTCTCATTCTTCTAAAGCATACTGAGCATCTCGAGTAACTTACCGAGCTGTTCCTTATCAATCTCTGGTGTTGATGAAGTTGAATCTATTTTATCTGGTGGCACATCATGAGAAGCGTGGTATCCTCGTGTTTTTCCTTTTCTTGGCTTCCAATCAGTCGGTTTTCCATGGATATCCCAGCAAGTGTCACGGGTATGCCCAATCTTCTTGCAATGTTCACAAGAAACCTTCCCTTTCTGATTCTTCTGGTTTGCGTCACTGCTCTTGCTTACAAGAGCAGCAGAGTCTAGAGTAGGTACTGGAGTAGGGGGAGTGCCAGGAAGCATGACCTTGCGTCTCGAGGCTTCACGACGTACCTCAGAAAAAACTTCCTTGGTTGATGGGAGTGGTGCACGACTCAAGACTCGTCCTCGTACATCATCCAGGGACTGATTTAATCCAGCAAGAAATTGAAATACACGCTCATTTTCAACTTTCTCCTTATACCGAATTGCATCACTACTGCTAGACCATTCCACATCTGTCATTAAGTCTAGTTCCTGCCATATAGCATTCAGTTCTAACCAGAAGGCAGTGACATCACGTTCTCCTTGTTGCAGTGTCCATGCCTTCGTTTTGAGCTCATATATCCGAGCTAAGTCCTTCCCATCAGAGTATGAATCTCGTATTGCCTTCCAGATTTCATGGGCTGAGGGGAGAAACATAAAGCTTTGTTGAATTTCTGGAATCATGGCATTTATTAACCATGATGATACCAGTGAATTTTCGGTGTGCCATTGCTGGAACTCTTGCGTCTTGGGGTCTTCTGGGATCTTCGATGAGCCATCAAGATAGCCCATTTTTCCTCAGCCTCCGATCACGAGTTTCATAGCTTGTGCCCACATACGGTAGTTTGTACCGTTTAGTTTCACTGATATAACGTGTACCGATGATCCTTCGTGGCTGGTAGTCGACCCGAAGGGACCACCTGCCCTTCTCGGATCAGTCTTCGAGGACCCATCACTGTTCGACATGGGAGAACTGTGAACTGGGTTCGACTCGTGCTCGGTACTTTCTGTCTCAGAGTTCTCGGCGTCAGACAGCACTGGGAAGTCACGGAGCTCTGATACCATGTAGTGAATGAGCCGAGAAACTCTTGTATTTACATCTAAGGTATGCACAAGAATATATACAGGAGAGAAAACAATCATATCTCCGAGAATAATGGAGATTGATTCAGAGGAGGAGAAATAGGAAATAATCTCGTAAAAAACCTCCTACTCTTAACTACCCGGTATCCCATAAAATAATAACATATATTTACATTGAATATAATAAATACTAGGTCTAACCACACATAGTTTCTAAGAAATCTTGAATTCTAGAATTTTTATGCTGTAGAGATTTCCATCAGAGAGATAGGGAGAAAAAAAGGGAGAGAAAGCAAAGAAAAACCAATTACTTAGCTCAATGGAAAGCCCACAACCAAGGGTTTATAAAGAAAACAAAAAAGATAATCTTAAAACAGTGAAAGAATTGTAAAGGAAGAATATCCCAATTGATCTTAACTCCCTTTTTTTGGTGAAAAATAGCTTAATTCCTTGTTTTCAAATAATTGACTATATCTCTCCAAATAGTCTTTTCCCATTCTTTTATCATATTCTCACATGCAGGATACGTTGTTACGGCTTAAGCCTAGATGGTCACAATTTTTTTTTAATTACCTTTACAGGTGATGGAACAATTCTTTGGTTTAGTTAACACATTCCTGAGGAACCACCAAGATACGTGGAAAAGAAGGTTAAGTATACGGACCTACAAGGTATACTCTGCTTTTTCTGAGTTCTTTAATTGTGATCTGATGATAGTTTATATGAAGTATTGCGTGTGTGTGTGTGTGTGTGAAGATTCACTTATTTTCACATTTTTTAATGTTATAGGTTGTTCCTTTTACGCCAAGTGCTGGTGTTCTTGAGTGGGTTAATGGCACTCTTCCTCTTGGTGAATATCTTATAGGGAGGTCTGTCAAAGCAAGTTGTATTTTGCTGCCAAATTTAATTCTCTTCATCACCTAAATGATCCTTTTCCTTGTACTTTAGCATGAGAAATGGCGGTGCTCATGGTCGATATGGAATAGGGGATTGGTCATTTCTCGAGTGTAGAGAGCACATGGCCAAGGTAAGTTGACTAATATTTTGGTATTTTTTACAGATGATCTATAATAGTCTACACTTCTGAAATATGCCTTGAATTAAACTATTAGCCACATGCTTTGAACAGTCTGAAATAAGTCATGCTGTTCATTATTTATGAATAGTGCAGCTTTGTGTAAATTCTATCTTAATTGCTTTGTTTCTTAATTTTATGAAGCCATAGAATCATAAATTCTATTTTTAAATCATAAAAAGAAATTCTAAAACAGTGGTTATTGGAGATTTTTCCATCATCCACATTACAAATGCATATGAGGCATTTTATGTGGTTGCATTAAAACTATCAATTAATCTTTGCAATGCAAATGACTGGGGAGACTGTCATTGGTGAAACATGTTAGATACCAGTTATTCGTAAGACATTTTCTACCCTCTGTAATCCTTTTTTATGGCCTGTGGAAAGCCAGTGCAGGTGGAAGAATATTTGCCCCCTGTGTAGTTTATTCCGCTGTTCCCACTTATTTTAAGTAACTGTGAGATGAATGATAATGTTAGAGAATTATCAAGAGCCTCCTATTATTTTTTGGTGTCAAGGAAACGATTATAATATATGGTGGCTTTAAAACAGGAAAGAGACAAGCGCAAAGCGTTCCAAGAAGTCTGTAAGAATTTCAGGTTTTTGACTTTTCCTATACTTTATATTTTTCAAATCAGGTCAGCAGTCAACTTCATAGCTTCATGACTATTATGCAGGCCAGTTATGCATTACTTTTTCTTGGAGAGATTTTTCAAGGCAGCTGAGTGGTTTGAGAAGAGACTAGCTTACACACGAAGCGTAGCTGCTAGTTCTATGGCAAGTGCATTGCAATTTAACATCCCTGTGCTAATCCTGCTGAAAGTCGTCCGAGATTGTATCATCAGTGTCATAAATTGAAACCATATTAAAGAACTATTCAGTACTATTAAGTAAAGAAGGATTACTCTACATTAAATCATGTACTTATTTTATAGTCTTACCTTCTATTTTCCCATTTTTTATTGGCAAGTGATATCATTTAGATTCTCTATATAATGTAACCTTCATGGAAACTGTAGTAAATCATTTTATCTTTGCCCATCCCAACGCTAATTCTCCCATCTGTTTCACATCTGTTTTCCAATTATTCACTATTTGGAAACGATTCAACACAGGGAATTATCAACACTTTGGTATCTACTTCCCAAAAAAAAAAAAAAAAAAAAAACAAGTTGATATTGTTTATTATTGCTGTCAATCTCAAAAGGTCATGTGTTCCAGGGATCAAAGTCTCAATAATTCCCTAATAAAAGACCCAAATAACATTCTCTCATGATTCTATAATTCATGACAGCTATATTTTCTCATGATCCTTTTGATTTATTTATAGGTTGGTTACGTAGTTGGCCTTGGTGATCGACATTCAATGAATATTTTAATTGATGAAGCCTCTGCTGAGGTTGTTCACATAGATCTTGGTGTTGCCTTTGAACAAGGTTTGATGCTTAAGACTCCAGAACGGGTATGCCTGAAGTCCTTTAATCCTACACTCATTTCCTTACTTTTCTGGGCTACATTAATTATCTACACGTTCGCAACTACTCACTAGTGACAGGTGCCCTGCACTCATGTCCTTACCTTTTTTAGACTGTACTACTGACAGGTTCCATTTAGGCTGACACGAGACATAATTGATGGAATGGGCATAACTGGAGTAGAGGGGGTTTTCCGAAGATGTTGTGAGGAAACTCTTTCTGTTATGAGAACAAACAAAGAAGCATTGTTGACAATTGTTGAAGTAATTGAATCGTGCTTTTACTCAATATTATCCAGAATAAATTTTTTTTTTTTGTCTTTTTTCTTATGAAAAATATCTTCTGCAGGTTTTTATACATGATCCTCTTTATAAATGGGCTTTATCTCCTCTAAAAGCTTTGCAGCGTCAAAAGGTATGTGCCTTCAAGGTTATTCTCATTATTATTTATGCACTGACACATCGCAAGTCCAGCTTCATATTTTGAACAAGTTGAATTGATTACTTATTTAGAGTTGTGGAAATGATTTAACAAGTATCTTACAAAAAATGCATTTAGCGATAATTTTAAGTTGGGAGTAGTTTTAAGATGACGTGTTGAACACTTATATTTTGAAATCTAGACCAATCTTTGAAGTGGAAAGGGAGGCCGTTTGCGGAGTGATCCAACTGAGATGAAGTCACTGCCCAATTAGATTTTGTGAGAGTTATAATAAATATTACTAACGCAGAGAAATTTTATTAAATAATTAAATGACAAATGTACTTGTAGTGTATGCAACGGTTTGCTACACTTCGATAGTAAATACTAGGGCCTGATATTCGTTAATTGATTTGTGCTGGGATTGGGGCTCGTAGATTTTGGGCTGGTACTATTGGCCTGTTCGGTTTAGCTACTTGATTGATCTGCTACAACATCTTGTCCCTTGTTCTCTGTAGGAAACAGATGATGATCTAGATACAACTTTCTTGGAACCTCAAGATGATCATGAAGGAAACAAGGATGCTACCCGTGCGCTATTACGTGTCAAGCAGAAGTTAGATGGATATGAAGAAGGTGAAATGCGGAGTGTACATGGGCAGGTACTCTGTCAATAATATGTATCTGACATATTCCTTTATGCATACCATGTTAATTGTGTTGTTCTCATTCTTTTCCCCTATTTGGTGGGTAAACCTGGATGCTTGCATTTCCCGGCTATGCAACTAGCATAATTGGAAGTTGAAACACAAATTTGTTAATTTAAAATGGTTGTCATCCAAAAGAGCATGTACCTCTTCATTCCCCCTCGAAGTCATGGCTTGTAGTGGCATCCACGGTCCACCTCAGTTAGTGATCAAGGGTCTCCACTTCCCTGTACGGTCAAAACACGGATGACATGGGGGAAAAGACTCTGAACGTAACTTATAAATGCTTATTTTAATTTAATTGCAGATTCAGCAACTCATTCAAGATGCAATTGATCCTGAGCGATTGTGCCAAATGTTTCCTGGCTGGGGAGCTTGGTTATAGGGAGAACATGAGAATCCACGGCCAGTTTGCTCGACTGCGAGTTATCTTGTATAGGCGGCATTTCTTTTCGGGGGGGTTTTTTTTTTTTTTTTTAAATCTTTCATTCATATTGTAGATGCCATTTCTTTCTTTTCTCTTCTGTCTAATCCAAATCTGTACCTTGGGCCATTTGTTTACTTTTTCTTTATTTCGCTGAGTACAAAAAGAAACGGCGAGGCTCCATTTTTTGCCTTGCTGCCGCATTCCCCATTTCCATTTGAAAATAATGATCAATTTACAATTTTTTTTCCTTCACAACTGCTACTACTGTGACTAGATACGATATAAAATGTGATGTGCTGTGCTTACAAAGTTCATGACATCGCCCTAAATACATTCAAAGAGAAACGGAGGGAACACCAGGGAAACTTCTTTGAGTTGGGGGAGGGGGGGTGGAAGCTTGACATTTTATGCCTTGTTTCTTCTAATTGATGAGAACTGGAAGGAGTGAAAAAATGGAGGGCTTAACGAAACTCTCCACATATGCCCAGCTCAGGGTCTTTTAGGGGAAAATGCCTCATTTTCCGCATCTCCATTAGAGTAACCTGTTGATTCAAAATTTGCCATGTTACTTGAGAGAGAACAAATAAAGCTCTAGCCAAAGTCTTCCTAAATTTTAGATCTACTGTAGTGTAAATTTGTCACTTGCTATCGTGAAAAGTTTCAAGAGTCGTTAATATTAAACATGTCAATGTTAAGTTTTATAGATATAATATTTAATTTTATTTTTGTCAGCTACAGGTATTGGCCTTATCTTTATCTTTAATAATTCAGCATGATTAAATACCAGGATTTTTTATAATCTACTCCGCGGGGTGCATATCCCTTATGAGATCTACCGTGACTTGATTATAATCACTTTTTCACAATATTTCATGGGTTATTTATTTTATAAAAAAACTTAAAGGATATTTTTGCTCTTAAATTATTTGTAAGGGAGTATCTAGTATTTTAATTTTTAAGTAAAAAAATAGTATCTTAAAAATAGTGTAATTTAGGCTTTCATGATAAAGAAACCGGCATTGATGGTTAAACCATGTGAAATAATGGAATTTGACTACTATTTTTTGACACATTATTCATTCCATCCCCCCTATCTCTCTCTGGGCCTCTCTCCTAAATTCGTTTGTCTTCTCTCCCTTACACCGCCTCTCTGTTCTTCCTTAGCTTTTTATCAGAAGCGTTATCATGGAGCCTTTGGACTCAACTTGGAAGACTTGATTTTCATGAACCTTTTGTTGCAATGAGTTGTTTTGATTATGTTAAATATAATAGGTTAAAGTATATTTTTAGTCTTCTAATTTTATATAAAATTTTAATTTGATCATTTAATTTTGTAAAGTATTGTTTAAATCCTTTAACTTTAGCATAGTAAATTTTGTGTTAATCATTGTTATTTAAAAAAAATATATATTAAACTTAATATGTCAATATTTAAAAATATTTTATTAATATTTAAAAGTTTAATGTAAAAATGTGTTGGGATCAAGTTAACAATATCAGAGTTAAAGAATTAAAAAACCACTTTATAAAATTAATAATTAAAGTAAAATATTGTGTAAAATTAAAGAATTAAATATATATTTTAATATTTTATAAAGTTAAAGAACTAAATGTTGTGTGAAGTTAAAAGTGAGTTGGGAGTTAAACACGAGAAAGGTTCCCTGAAGCTCTATTTTTGCCTTTGCTTGCTGGGAACTATGAAATTTAAGAAATAAAAAAGTTTTCGACAATGAAGAGGCTGATATGTGTGCTGATCAGAATAAACTTTTCTATAAATTGATTGTGGACAATCATTGCAAGTAGCGTCCTGGTCATAGGAGTGAGATACGTAGCCTAAATCTGGATGTTTGGATCCATGCAAGGAAGACAGTCCAGCAGTGACCATTTCCAGTGAAAGCAAAGGAGGATGAAAGAAGAAGACGCAAGAAGTTTTGATCCAAAAAACATAAAGGGTTAGTGGATGTCAGTGGACCTGCCATTTGGCAATGTTTAGTCAAACTTCTTTTTCAGTCCTCCAGTTCAACAGTCCACGTTTGTACAGTTGATGTCAGTGGTGAAATTGTTACATTTCAAATATTTTAATGTTATATTCAGATACATGTTAATTTTAATTTAAGCCAAATTCATTCTGGTAATTAAAAATGTGTGGATTTACTTTTGACCTAAATCCTATCTCAATTCCTTTATAATTTCAAATCATTTAGAAGCCTTTATTATTTCAAATGTCAATGGAAGCTTTTCTCTTGCCTCACATTCGTTTATTCACTTCACTACTTTCTTGATTTTGATATCACTGCCTCCTGTTAATATCCATTGGGATCAGACCGTTGGCATAGACTATGATTGGGACTGAACAATTGATCGTGACTGAGATTGGATAGGCGACGATGACCAAGATCAAACTACTAGTGACGAATGCAACTGGACTGGGGATGACAAGGACTAAACTGCAAACACTTTTAATAGGACTACATCATCAATGAATTGATGTCTTTTAGTGAGATCAAACTATTGGGGCAAACATGGATCGAAAGGCTTGGGAGGATCACCAATTGAGACCAAACTATCGACAAAGACTAAAGTCAATCGAGACTGAATCGCCAACACCTATCAAGATCAAATTGTCGACTTTTATTTGGACTACACTACCATGACTAGGGTTGTTCACGGGCAGGTATGGGCCACCCGTGGCCTTACCCGTTACCCACTAGGTTTTAGTTAAATGGGTAACCACCCGCCCGCACCGACATACACCCGTTTTTCACCTGTTTTAAAATAGGTCAAAACAGGTTTAGGCGGGTACAAACAGGTTTGGGTTACCTATTTAACATGCAATACTCATATTCTTAATAAAAAAACACGAAAAAAATTCTCATTCCATTTGATTAATGAGACAAATCAGGATTCAAGTAACACATTCAAACCAAATCTAATGTGGAAGCAACTCGAACTCAAATTGAATCCAGCGAAGTCGAAGCAACTCGTTGAGGAGATGGCTTAAGTCAAGGCAAATCATGGAAGATAACTTAAACCAAACCAAGAATGGAAAAGATAGCAGAGTTGAAGCGGATTTGTGTGAAGTAGATTGAGGCATATTTGTGCGAAGAGAAGCAAATTTGGAGAATTTGAAGCAAATCTATGTGTGCGCGAGTCGAAGCACATCTGGATTTGTGTGTCATTTAACGACGAGGCTTTCTTGCAGCAACGCAGATGATGAAGGGATGGGACGCCGAGAATGAGAAAAAGCCAGAAGACTCAAATAGTAAAGAATAAAGAAGAAAGGGCTGATGCCAAGAAGAAGTCAATCAAGTCACACAGACAGTCATGATGGTAATCATTGTCGCTGGTCAAGGGGCTGAAGTCGAGAAGAAGCCAGAAAGTTGGAAGGGACTCGAATAAAGGAGGAGATTGAAGTTAGGGTTGGTCGGTTAGGTGTGATTGGGTGGTGGACTAATGGCAAAGCCTAAGTGACTAAGTAGGTCTAATATTTTTTGAAAAAAAATATATATACAAGCGGGTACGGGCCACCTATGCCCTTACCCGTTACCCACTCATTTTTTATTAAACGAGTAATCACCCGCCCATACTTGCTTTCTTTCTTTTATACGGGTATAGGTAGATTCGTTTAGCAACGGGTCGGGTGAGTATGAGCAGATTCGTGGGTTTACGGGTAAAATGCTCACCCCTAACCATGACAGACTTAGACCAAATGGCCTGGGTAGACTACCAAAAGGGACTGGCAACAATAAAGACCACCCTTCACTGCCGCCCAATGCTTGTTTGCTACCGTCGTCGTCATTCGATGCCTATCTAGTATCGCCATCCTATGTTGATCTGCGATCAGGATTAGAAGGCCATCTTTAACCAAGACCAGACAACCAACTTTAACTAAGACCGAACAGTCGATTGTGATCGGCACTGGAGTGCCAGCTTTAACCGAGTCTGAATGGCTAATTTTGGCTAGATCACGACTACTAATTTTGACCAACACCGAATGGCTTGCATTGACCGTGATTTGACTGCCAGTTTTGACTGAGATTGAATTACCGATAGTGACCGGGACTGGACCACCAATGTCAACCAAAACCACCCTCCTCTGCCACCTAATACCAATTTACTGTTGTCATCCTCATTTGATACTGATCCATTGCCTTAATCCAGCGTTGGTCTACTACCACCATCTTGTGCTAATTCGTCACATCCAACCTATGTCAATCTACTACCGTTGTTAACAAGGAATGTTCTAGTGTTGTCATATAGGTCTAATCCGCAACGCTTATGCTGTTGTAATCATCTCATGCTAATTCTTAAGCATCGTTTTGGATTAGATCTTTGATGTTGACAAGGATCGAACTGGTATTGGCAATTAAGACTGGTCATTGATGACGTCCATGTTTAGACAATTGGAGTTGACCAAGATCAATTTGCCACTCTTGATTTAGATCATACCATTAACTTTGACTAGGATTGAACTGCTAAGATCATCTAAGTTGCCTTTAAATTCAAACATAAAATTTGAAATTTGAAATTTTATTTAAGATCCAAACAAAGTATTTTAAAATTACAATGTGAATTTTTTTATTTCATCTAAACAAAGAATTTACGATCTATAAATTTTAAATATGAAATTTTAAATTTAAATTTTTAACTAAAATTCACCCAACTAAATGCAACATAAAAGTAAAGATGTTCAAAGTTTGTACGCAGCGCAAGGAGAGAAGGTAAAAATGCTAATTGCAACATAAAAAATTTTATGTAGGAGTTTCCCTCGCTGTCCTTCAGGCTTCACTGAATATAATACTCCTAATGTTATACAGGGAAAAAGGACATGATATAAAAATGAAACATATGGCAGAGTCCTTCGCCCTTTTTGTAAAAAATGAATAAATAAATAAATACCGAAGATGGACTAAGGCCGGGAAAACTAGTTACACAGGTGGGGATATAAATCCCAATCTCTCATTGTTCACTAGGACCCTCGACGGTTGAGTCCTTTACCCACCAATCAAACGGTGCGTTGGGGGTTGCCGAGCATCTTCGTTCTCAGTTGCTGAGTACCCAGGCCAAGCTGGACCCGAAATGAAAGAACCTTTGTTTTTATAGGCCGAAGAAATGAAAGAACCATTGGACGCGGGCACACCTAATGGCCCGGAGCTAAGCTTTCTGCAGATCACTGGTTCAGACTTCGGAGTAGAATGGCGGGAAAACTTGGCGCCCTAAAATCTTTCCCGTCTCTTCCTCTATATAACCCCGCCCTTCCATATTCTTTGCCTCGCCTCGTACCATTTCCCTCGCGGACAGCGCCGCCTCTGTTTTCTGCACGATTCCTTGCTTTCGTAGATCTTAAACCAGGTTCATCTTCAGCGCCCTGCGTCCATACAACCTCTGTTTACTGTTTCTGTTTTGGAACTAATGTCTAATGTTACCGCGACCATTGAATGGATCTCCTTTTATGCTATCTATTTTGGAAGCAGAGCATTTGCTTGCTGTGCTTCATGCTTATTCAAATAAAGAGCATAGATTTGTTTAGTCTTTGGGTGATGAAAGAATATGGTGTTGTATGTGGAGTCATGGACCGGGGTGTTGCTGTGACCATATTACTGTTTCTTTTTTTTTTTTTTAATGAATGCATTTACCGTTTCTAAATTCTTTCTGCGCTCTCTTGAAATTGTGATTATAATCTCTTGTACATGTTTAAATGTTGATTAAGATACTTCTGTTTTGAGAATTGTATGACTCCCAACTTGGGGGATTTTCACAGATGTCTCATTATTGATGAATTTTGGCAGATTTCCTATCATTGGGTCTGGCTAGCTGCCTCATACCATTTTCCTTCCCTAATTTTGCTCATCGTCATCATATAATGGCTCAAACAGAGATGCAAAGCAATGGCTGTGAGGTCATGGAGCCTTCTCCCAAGATCCAAAAGGTGGAACACGACGGTGTCGCCGAAAATCCTCAAGCCTTTGTGCCTTATCTTCGAGTGAAGAAGCTCTCTGACAAGGCCATTTTGCCTTCTAGGGCTTCCTCCCTCTCCGCCGGTTACGATCTATCTAGGTTAGTCTCAGATCAGAAACTCTCTTTCACTCGCTCTCTCATATGCGCTGGGAATAACTGAACATTTACGTTTTCTGAACAATGTTGCAGTGCGGTTGAGACGAAGGTGCCAGCAAGAGGAAAGGCTCTGGTCGCAACTGATCTGAGTATAGCGATCCCCGAAGGAACCTATGCTCGTATAGGTAATGACAAATTTCAGATCTCTTTCAATTTTAGGTCATTACATGCTGTAGTAACTTGACTGAATTCTGATGTTATTTGATTTTGGATTCCTGGATTATGTAGCACCACGTTCGGGTTTGGCTTGGAAGCACTCAATCGACGTGGGTGCGGGTGTGATCGACGCCGATTACAGGGGACCAGTTGGAGTGGTATTGTTCAACCATGCGGACGCTGATTTTGAAGTGAAGGTTGGAGACAGGATTGCGCAGTTGATAATTGAGAAGATCGTGACGCCTGAGGTTGAGGAGGTTGAAAATCTGGATTCCACTGCCAGAGGCGAAGGCGGTTTCGGATCTACCGGTGTCTGATCATCTTGTTTGGGAAAATTAGGCTTAGAGGCGTAGCTGGGAAATAGTAATTTTGTGGAATAGGTACTGATCGGCTTGTTTATGCTCTTACCTGCATACTGACGGCGCTGTAAAAACGATGTTTGCTACTAGATTTACCAGCTAATTCTAGTTTCGGGGCAAGTGGTATCTTAATCCAAGCGGAAGAAAAATCAGAGGAACAAAGGAAACATAGGACAGTTTTGTTAATGCTAAGCATCTTTAGTAGAAAAACTAGTACTCTATCAACAATCATTAATGAGCATTTGGTTTTCGGTCTTTCGAAAAGTTCATGGGGTAAAAGGCGGTAAAGAAAATATGGGGAAATATTTTGGTAATCAATAAAGGGCTCTAGACAAATCAGATGTTGTATCAGTTAAAAAAATAATAAAAATGTTTAACTAAAATACAGAAATAAAATATAATAGAATTGTTCATGCTGTCCTAATTATTGTTTATTTGGATTTGGATAATATTAATACGATTCAGATTAAACATGTACAATGGGCAATATGTGCGTTTTGTAGCGACATCTGATTATATCTAATCTAACTATAAAAATAATGAAACTAAAATTAGATTTGTTTTTTGGTTGAACGGTTTTTTTTTTTTTGCATTGATTTATAACGTTTTTTAAATTCGAGGTTTTCCATTGACAATCAAATAATTATGATGTCATCTTTTTGTAGGATGCTTTTTCAATCCCTTATTTTAGAATAGGTTCTTGTTTCAAAATTTCGACTAGAAATTGAAGTGGCTGCCCATATTTATTTGTGATTTCTGATGTTACCAATATTTGATCTCGATATTAACGGTAAGTATAGAATAAATAGTACACGTTTTGTTACATAAAAATGTTATTTTAATTATAATCAGATTAATTAACTTGATAATTTGTTTAATTAGTAAATTTTAAACTACTTTAAAAATATTGTTTCAATGTTTGTTAGCTATGCATTAAAAAAATAATTTATGTATGAATTATATATGAACACCTTTTAAAAATAAATAAAACCGACTTTATTCTTTTGCCAATGTCCACAGATTTGTAGCTCCGGTTTATAAGGACCCATGCATACCATTAAAATTGGTCAATCAACACAGACAGGACCGCTTCCATATGTATATTTACACCTTTATCCTCAGTGAATAACCGTCATCATCGACGACAATGGATGGTCTCCTACGTGATTTACTTGATTAAGTCAAACCCGCAATTGTAAATTCACACCGACCTAAATGCGATAGATTGCCCTCCAAAAACAACTAGCACCGCCCATCGCAAAACAGAAGTTCCTTCCCGTCACGTTCTTTTTTAAATCTCTTCTCAACCCTCTTTGCATGCCCTTACTTCCATAACTGTTTTCTCTTCTTCTCCAAGAAAACTGCTTCACATCCATTCCCAACTCTCTTTCTCTCTAATTGCTTCTGCGTGACCCCTTGCTTTCTTTCTCGCCACGTTTTCTCTTTCTCTCGGTTTTACCCACATGTATAATCCAACTTCATTTCTTCTTTCCTTTTATGGTGTACATATAACCTCCAAACACATCCCCTATTCATTTATTTGATTGGTTTCGTTTCACGTCCCGTCTTAATTCTGTAGATATACATCCAACTTGGGCTTCTGTTCTTGGTTGTTTGATTGGTTATAGCATTCTGTGCTTCTCTTACAGTTTGCGCGGTTTTATTGTACCGTTTTGTGTTTCGACAATATGTTGCTTGAAATCTGTCACAATGGGTCCAGTCCACGGTTGAAAGTTGATGAGATTGGAACTTCAGCTTCGAACGAATCCGTTAAGCAAGAGGCAAGCGATGAATCAGATCATATGAGGGTCGAGAATTCGGTCTGGGAGACCTCGAGCAACGAGGGATCAACGGTTTCAGATTGCGAGAGTGCTGTTTCTGGTAGCACTTATGTGCGGCACCAGATGTTCGATGAAGGTTTTCTTAGACTCGTTGAAGGAGAGAGGGCTCATGATCTCATTCGCAGAAGATTCATTCTGGGTTTGGGGACGCTTGGGGCGAAAACGGAGGTCGTTGCAATCCATAGAAATGCTTGTTCTAGCGTTACGGCGCGAGCTCGAATTCAATCATTTGAGGTTTATATGCGAGCTGAGGAAAAGCGTCGTGGTAATGCCAATGTGAAGTATGCATGGTATGGGACTTCTGGCAAGGAAGAGGTACGAGAGATTATTTCCCATGGTTTTTGTAATGGCGGTAAAACTCAGAATAATGGACATTTTGGTTGCGGATTATCTCTCTCTTCAGATGATTCTCCTATGGAAAGGTATGCAAAAGTTATTATTTATTATGAAGCACAATATTTTAAAAACGGATATCGGATATTTTTTTCAATTTTAAACTGCACTTAGACAATTGTTTTTAAGAATAATTTTTTTTATTGCCAAAAGAACTATTGTTTGCATTTTTTTTCAATCTTAATTCATAAGTTAATGAAATGTCTTTCTTGCTGCTTTGTAGTTTGAAAAGCTCTAATGTTGACAAAGACGGTCTAAGGCACTCATTACTATGTCGCGTTATTTTGGGGAGGCAGGAGCTTGTGCATCCTGGTTCTGAGCAATGCCATCCTAGTTCTGACGAATATGATTCAGGGGTGGACAGTCTTTCAGCTCCTAAGAAGTATATCATTGGGTGTACCCGGATGAATTCTCATATTTTTCCGGAATACGTTATAAGTTTCAAGGTTCCTGGCATGAAAGGTATGGACAGATCTTTGTTGGCAGTTTGTGATGGAGTTGCTGTCTTTTTATGGTATTCGGGAATTTGTAAATCATTAATTGAGAAATGTTGTAAAATCTTGCATATGTGTAATTTTGCAGGGCTAACGAAGTTTGAAGAAACTTTAAAAACGCCATCTTCCCCTTGGATGCCATTTCCAAGTCTAATTTCTGTGCTCTCGAAGTTCTTGCCTCCATCTACTATTGCCTTGATCTCCAAATTCCACAAAGATCACACAGTAAGTGTTTTGACTTCCTTTTTGGGGTTTTTGAGCACCCTGACTCTACTCTTGATATGAACTCACTTATCAAAGCTTCCTTTGTTTTGTTTTTCAGGAAAAGAAGATTTCACGGCGTGAACTCATACAAAAAGTAAGACAAATAGCAGGAGACGAGTTGTTGATTTCAGTCATCAAATCTTTCAGAGCAAGGTACTATTAATCCTCCCTGTGTGATTTTGTTCATCATTTTCTCAAGGGATGTAGTTCTGGTCCATTTATCTGGCTACTGAGTGACAAACATCAACCTTACTGGCTTTGTAGATTAAAATTACATGACAAGTGCTGGTGCTCTACATCTTGCAATCTATTTCATGCTATGAACTTGTATATGAAAAGCATGTGTATTGAATTGAAGTACTCAAATATTCTTGCAGTATGCTTTTGAATTTGGTTGTCACATGTTAAATTTTGGGGATTACTGCGCAAGTGTTAATATACTACATATTTGAGGACGGTTTATGCATGTTTATTATCAATCAATGATATGAGTCTTTGTAGTCGATTTCATGATGTCAGACCGCGGTTTCCTTGATGTGAAAAAACATGTGGTTTTGAATTTTGGAGCGGTTGCAAAATAAACATAAGGAGAATCTCCTCTAGGACCCCTAAAGTAAAAAAAATTATGAAATTATTTTACAAGTTCAAGGGTCTTTTTGCAAATAAGTTTTAAGGGAAAAAGACACAATTAGCCTTAGTGAGAAAGAAAGATTATCAATGGATAAATACTCATCAATATGTGAACTTAAAGTTGTGACATAAAAATCTAAACTCGATGTCATGATAAATTTTAATTCTAAATTTATAAAGTCATAGATTCTAAACTTTGACTTGTGAATAAATAAACCTGTACTTATAAAATATTCAAACTTTAATTTATAAATTTATTAAGTTAGCCAAAATTAACTTATCAATCATGAACAAAAATTTCACTATCAATGAACAATTACTTGTTTACATGTGAACTTAAAGTTGTGAATTAGTGAATATATAATTATAAAAATTTAAACTTGTTGTCACAATAAATCTTAGTTATAAATATATGAAGTCATGAATTTTAACTTTTGACTTGTAAATAGATGAATTTATATTTGTAAATATTTGAACTTTAAATCATAAATTTATTAAGTTTGCCAAAACGAATATGTCAATTCTAAACAAGAATTTCATTTCCAATGGACATGTGAACCTAAAATCGTGAATTCGTGAACATGAATCTAAACTTGTACTTGTTGCATGCTCTCACTAAGGGCAATTGTGTCCTTTTTTCCTAAAACATATTTGCAAAAAGAGCCCTTAAGCTTACAAAATAATATTAGCATGTATTGGGCCTTGAGTGAGGTTTTTCTCTGATGGGGGCTTAGATGAGATTCTCCCTAAATAATAAGCTAATAATATGTAACATTGGATCCAATTTATTATGTCCTCCGGATTCTGTTGGAGTTAGGAATTTTATGCATATGTTTAAGCAGAAACTTTTGCAGTTCGGGCTTATTATTTGTGCATGTGTATTAGTTATCGAATCTAACAGGGTGAATTTGTACTTGTGCTTCAGGAAAACGTGCAACCGTTCAGCTAAGGTGAAGAACTGAAGTAGAATAAGACAGCTTGGTCATTAAAACTGAACAAGTTGTATCCCAAGATCTATTATGAGCTGTTAACATGTAGATATCACACCGGAGTTGACATGATGCTCACTGACTCGGAATCACTAATAGAGAGAAGACACAATCCGCTCGAGGGGTCACTGGTCACTGACTTGTTAACCGATCTTCACCGTACGGCCTGGTTGAGGAGCAGCGTGACTCTTGAGGATTTGATAAATGGTGAATTGTAATCACGGTGGTATTATCGAGTAACAGTTTTCCTCTTTCTTTTCTTTCTTTCTCTACTTTTTCCCCCTCTAGTAGCAAGTCGGAATGGAATGATGTCAACCAGGAACAAGGAAAGTTATATGGACATCTTGAATGGCTTTCACTGTGTTTCCTTCTCTCAATTGTAAACCCCCCCTGTTTTGTCAGTATATGATGATACTTTTTAGAATTTGGATCCACTGTGCATCTCTTGAAGTGATTGTTGAGTGTCGACGTCTGCACTAGTTTCGTGTCTTTAGTTTCTTTCATGTAGTTTTCAGGTTCAGATGAGGTCTTCTTCTGACAAGACCTCATCTGCTGTAAAAGCCACAGATTCGGCCCATTGCTCACCAAGTTTCCTGTGTGCCTGTCTGACGGTAATGGTATCAATTTTCAATCTCAAGGGTGGATTCAGTGACCAAAGATTGGATGTTTGTTGCATGATGCATAATTTTTCATGATAGCTTGTGGAATCACTTGTGACATGTTGCACTGCTCGCGTTGCAAAATTTTGTCCATTAGATTAATCCAAGAATGTTAGTCCTGTGAATCATATTTTGCCGCGTAGACGCTAGCAAATCCTTCCAATGATCAAACCATTGTAACTGTAGGAAACAGTTTTGATCTAGCAATGGACTATGTTGATGAAGAAGACCATGAAATAGATAGAAGCAGGCCCAAACGTATAATTTGGATGTGTCGGCCAATCTGATCCGATAAAACTGAAGGCCTGGCCAACCCCAAAATAATCGACATGACTCTTCACCTTATTGATGTTTCATTCACTTCCTTTTCAGTTTTCCCTTTGATTCAGTTTTTGGACCCGAGAGAGAATTAAGGCGGAAATTTTCAGCTGGAAACACGCGTGCTCTCTGTTTCGTTTTCTTGATTTTTCCTTGTTCTTTTCTCCTTGGCTTTTAGGCTACTTATCATTCGCATGAACAAAACCTAGTGCCACGTAATCTTGGGGTTATTGGCCGCGCTTCATCTGTATACTTCTTCTTATCTTTTTTATGTAGATCATTTTTTATTTTCAATCATTGATATTGTCTAAAAAATTATTTTATTCCTATTAAATGTATCATTTTTAAAAATATTTTCTTTATTATTGTACATGCAATCTCTTTTTCTGCTCTTGAAACATAAAACGTTGTACAAAGAATAAAATTGGAAAAGGATATTAAATACTTTATCATTTATACGTAAAATAGTAGTACTCCTTCCCGATTAAACTACAAAGTATTGATAATTAATTTACAGTTTTCAAAAAATATTAGTTGAAACATTAATTTTAAAAAAATAAATTTTTTAATTTTATGCTCATTAATTGTTTAAAAAAAGTAATAAATGAAATAGAAGTATGATTAAAAAATTAATTATAAAGTTACCTAATGCTTTATATTTTAGACCAAGCAAAGGTTTTAAAGATTTTTTATATTGTAATACGGGGGGAGTAACTTATAAAAATGATGATCAATTTTTATAAAAAATATTTTTATACAAAATTAAAGGAATTATTATCACCAGGATTTAGACAAGACAATTAAGGAAATACTCCACTCGTCCTATTCATACAGTAAAGAGTGAAAAACAAAATTTGATTCTATTTACAGGGCACTTGTTAATTTTTAATTTTTTTATTCTATTTTTACTCTTATTAAATGTTTTAAATAAAAATACTAATAATAAAATTTAAGAATATTTATTAACAGTAAAAGTAAAAATTTGTTAAAGCTCAAAACAAAATTAATAGAGTTTAAATTTTTTTTTAAATTTTGATAAAATATGTTAAAAGTGACTTATCAATAAAATAAGATAAAGTAATAATATTCCATCATTTCAAATTATAAAACACTTTTAGGGAGGATTAATGTCTTAAAATATAAAATACTTTGATTTAAAAAATAAGGTTTTATTAATGATTTTTTCATTATTACCTTTTTCATATATTCTCTCTTTTTAATATTTTTTATCAAAAAAATATTAAATAAAAGGTATTTTTAAAAATTTATATTTTTATCTTAAAAAAGTAAAGTAATAAAGTATATTTAATAAATTTTATTAATATATAAAATTTTATTTAAAAATATTTTATAATTTAAAACGGAGGAATCACTATGTATCATTAATTAAACATGATAATCAAGAAGCCAGAATCATGTTCCTGACTCACGAGCCCTTCATTTCTCAAATGCGTTCCTTGTCACATATAGAGAAGTGGGGGGGTTAGAAGTCGCGATGTCGTCCAATGAGAATAAGCCAGGCCCGCTTGACCAATGGCCATGTTGGTAGTTAGCATCGCAAGAAGCACAAGACGGCAATCCACCTCGGGAAAAAACCCCCCTCCTGTAAAACAAAAAACAAAAAAAAAACCCCCTAAAATTGGCGTACGAACCAGAGAGTTATTCTGTCTTAATTGTGAAATTATCTTCTGAAACTACCTACTACCCTCGTGTATGTTAAAAAGTGGTCTCCACCAGTGTTTGAGATTTTTTCTTTTTTTTTACTCAATAGTACTTCAAGTTGATTGCATATACTTAGTAAGATTTCCTTCATTTAGTCCTTTTTAAAAAAAAATTTGATGAATGATTATTGTCATCATGATGATTAGAGTGTTTGAACGGCTAATGAGATCGCTTTTAAGAAAAGATTGTGTTTAAGCTTGTGAAAAGCATTTAAGCACGAGCCTCTCCATGTTTCTTATCTTCAATCTCCAGCATCGAAAATGCATCTCCCATGATATGAAATGAAAAAAAAAGAAAATCGAAATTCATGAAAATGGCGTGGGAGGAGCAGGAGAGAATTAGGTTACCTGGGTGCGACGATGAGGGTCGCAATCGGGCATAAGGATCACAGGGAGAGCGTGAGGGGAGGGTATTTAGGTAAAATCAGGAGGACACCGCCCTAAGAGTTGTAGCCATTAGAGTGAGCCCCACAGGATGCTCTTTTTCAATCATTATCATGCTCTCCCTTCCACATCATTCTCTTCTCTTTCCAATTCCAAGCACTAATGGTAATATCTTCCATCGCCGCCACCGGTTTCTCATCTCTCAACACCACACTTTCCGTCTTAATCCATTTAACGCATCACCCATCTTTACATTCATCCAAACATTACATGACAGTAATCTCTTGCTCAAAACCCAGTTCCCCCATTTCAATATTATTAATTTATCATTAATAACTAATTGTGATATTAACATTCTACTAATATTGTAATTTTTCCAGGTTTATTTTACTGTGCACTAATTTTCTCCTATTAAAGGTGGGTAATCATATTCAATATGCAGTCAAAAATTAAATGTGAGTTTATTTTGCTTGACCCAGTTCCATTAAAATTCTGCCCGATCTTTGTTTCAATTCTTTCATTTTTCCCCCCACACATTTCAACGGTGTCTAGGGGTTAGGGAAATAACAGGTGTGAAAAAAGGGTTAGGAAAATAATTATAATTTTAAAAAAAGTTTCTAATTCATTGTCTATCCTCTTCTACCTCACGAGGAGATGTCTACGTTCTGAAAAATGGTATACTTATTTTTAATGAAAACTTTTTCTATATAAAAAATAATTTTCCAATTTTCAGGATTTATTTGGTTATGCAGTCTACCTCTAAATAAATAATACTTGTTCGCAAAATAATAATAATACGTGTTTTAACTATTTAAGATGACACGTTTTATCCTTAAACTTTATATTTTTATTTTTTAATTTTAATTTGATATTTAAAGATAAAAAAAATCATTTAACTATGTACTAGTGCAATTGTGACATCAAATAATTATATATATTTCTATAACGATTATAATATGCCACTCTTTCTCATTAATAAAATATATGCATCCATATTGATGTTGGTTTATTCTGAAATTAACATTGATACTAAATTTAAATACTAATAATGGCTTACAAGTAATAATTTTTAGGATAAAGTATACATTTAATCCTTTAACTTTATGTAAGATTTCATTTCGGTTCCTTGACTTATAAAATACATTTATAATCATTTAACCTTAACGCCGTTAGTTTTATCACAAAAAATTATATATTAAACTTTAGATATTGATAAAACATTTCAAATGTTCACATACTAAGTTTATTTTTTCAAGATAACAATAATTAGTACAAAAGATAATTATTTGAAATTAACAGTGTTGGGGTTAAAGGATTAAAAAAATATATTTTATAATTAATAGATTAAATTAAAACTTTATATAAAATTAGAAGACCAAAAGTATATTTTAGTAATTAAATACAAGCATTCATATAATTTTCTATTTTACTAAAAATAAGTAATAATTTTTATCACTAGGTTGGAAAAATAAAAATATCACCAACTTACAATCCATAACTTATAACTTATTGTAAATTTTGATACTCCTTGCATTAAAATGTAAGGTATTTTTTGAGAAGTTGATAAATATTAAAAACTATAAAGTATTTTTAGTATTTTAAGATATAATTATTGTGTTTTTCTCAAAAATGAATTACTTTATATTTATTATAAAATAAAACACTCAATTAAATAAAGGTAAATATGAAAATATGATATTAGTTTTAAGACAATTGAATACGTTATCGGGAAAGATTCTGTTAAAAATGTCTTACATTTTTTTAAAAATTAATTATTTAATCTTTATAGTTTTGATCCAATTATAATTTAATCCTTGAATTTTAACTCATTGTAACTTAATTTTTATAATTTTATTTAATTGTAATTCAGTCTCTCAATTTTAATTCTCACAACTCAATCTCTATAGTTTTAGCCATTTGAATATTGGTTCATATATTTTAAAAATAAAATTATATATATTAAAAATATTTTAAAATTTTAATTTTAAAATCTTTATAAAGATTAAAAGTGTTTAATAATTTAAAATATTAGTCCTAAATTTTACAATTTTATTTTTTCAAATATAAGGATGAATATTTAAATAATTAAAATTATAGGAAATAAGTTGTAAGAGATTAAGTTACAATCTAGTCAAGACTATAAATGCTAAGCTATAATGAGTTAATGTTTAAGGATTAAGTTACGATTGAGTCAGAACTTCAAAGCCCTAATAATTAATTTTTTTATATTTTTTAATGAAGGAAGTATTTCTTTTGGCCTTGAAATTTGATAGTTGATAGTACATGCTATTAAATACTTTCTCCGTTTAAAAATATAAAATATTTTTAACGAATCTCACTTTCAATAAAGTAATTACATATTTTAAATTAATCTTGTCTTTTTATATTTACCCTTACTACTACAATAAATATAAAATCATTAATTAATAAGGGCATTTTTGAAAAAAAAAAAAGATAATGATTACACATCAAAAGACTAAAAATGTCTCATATTTTTAACATCCAACTCGTTAAAAAATGTCTTACATTTTTAAACGGAGAGAGTATCACATTATGATATGTACGTGTATGTGTATTGAGAATGTAATAAATTTTATAAATAAATGTGTTTTACATTAAAACTAAAACATAATAAATGTAATTAATATATAATTTTTTGAAAAAATAATATACCTAGCCTTAAATAATTAAAAGGCTTGGTTCCAAATAAATCAAAATATATTGATCTTGTTATTAATATTATAAAAGTATCAATATTTACTTGTATGATTTGTTTGAATAAAATATATTAAGTATGTAATACTAAGTATCTAACTTGCCCTATAATTTCCAAGTCTCTCTAAAAATTTAATTATTTTAAAAAATTTCACATTGCATGCTTATTAAAAAATTAGAGCGAGAGTTAACAAATGTAATACAAACTTATATAAACTTACCCACTTCAAAATTATAAATCATTTTTAACTTATTTACAGTCTCAATAAGTCAATTAATGACCTTTAAAATTGTATAGTTTTTTATGTCTTTTATTACTCATAAGAGTCTCTCAATTAAAAAAAATATTATTAATTATACATCTAATTATGAGAATTTTTGAAAACAATCTTACCGATTTTATCTTTAAAGAAAAAAATAGTACTCCATCTGTTTTAAATTATAAAATATTTTTATATAAAATTCCCATATCAGTGAACTTCATTAAATATATCTAACAATTTTATATTTTTAAAATATAAATATAAGTTTTTTAAAATATTCATTATTTAATATAATGAAAAGAAAAGTGATGAAAATTAACTATAGAAAGAGAAAAGTTAATATTAAAATTAAAATATTTAATAAAATTTTAATATATTTAAAGTGTTTTATATTTTAAAATAAAAAAAATTTTTTAAAATTATTTTATAATTTAAAATAGAGGGAGTACAGTATATGTTTTAACATAGTAATAATAATTTAGGAAAAGCGCCTTCCTGTAATTTTAAACGGGGGAGAGGAAAAATATGTCAAGAGAAGGGGAAAAATTAAAAACATAAATACATCATCAATGGAAGCAGGCAGGCAGACAGCAGAATCATACGCAGCGTCGCAGCCACCAAGGCTACAACAAAATGTAAATCTGACCTCACCGAACTGTACCTCGCCAAATACTTAATATCCATATTTAATTTTCATTTATTATCATTTAAATCATTAAAATCAATTCAATTCAACCAACCACTCGCAGTCTCTCTCTCTATATATACTGTCCTTCACTGTAATTGAATCCATTTTCTCCTTCGGCATCGCATGCTCTCCCTCTGAACCAAACCTGTATGATCAACCTCCACATGATGCAGTCCGAGTCTTCTCACGTTTCTCCCTCTCCCAGCTTCAGTAGCTATTCCTCCGAGACCCTCGCTGAGATTGCCGCTCGTGTCATCCGGGAATTCGGCTCCGACCCTGCTTCCCACTCCGACGATTCCGTCTTCGCTTCATGGCAGCCCGACGTCGATGACAACCGCTCCGACTTACATCAGAAGACTGCAGATGGTGATGTTCACGGCGAGGATGACGACGATTTTGAGTTCGCTTTTGTTTGCAGGGACCCACACTCCTCGCCGGTATCCGCCGATGATATCTTTTATAATGGTCAGATCAGGCCCATGTACCCTATCTTCGACCGCTCTTTACTCGACGGCGTCTCTTCTGTTTCGCTGACTCAGAACACCGACGAAACGGAGGCAGTTGGTCGCCGCCGACTTCCTCTCAGGAAGCTCATGTTCGAGGAGCGAGAAACAGGGTCGTGCTCGTCTTCGACCTCTGAAGCAGAGGACATTGACCTTGAGGGTGTGGCTCCGGGGACCTATTGCGTGTGGGATCCCAAATCGTCATCGGCGTCGTTTAGAAGGCCGTGCAAGAAGAGCAGTTCGACGGGGTCTGCGTCGAAGCGGTGGAAGTTTAGGGACCTACTTCCGAGAAGCCACAGTGATGGGAAGGTACCGCTTGTGATCTTCACAACGAACAACAAGAGCAACAAAGTGGCTCACGAGGCGTCCAAGCCCGAGAAGGCATCCCAAAACAGCAGAGCCGTGGCTCCGGCGAAAGAAGAGGACGAAAGTAAGAGAAAGCAGCCGTTGCCTTACAGGCAAGAATTCATAGGACTTTTTACCAATGTGAATGGACTCGGTAGGAATCTGCGTCCATTTTGAAATGCAATCAAGTACAAATTAAGTTAATCTCTTGCGTTTCTCTTCAGAATTACCTGATTATATCCAATGCTTTTGATTTGTCAAATGTTTGGCTGATCTCTTTTTTGGTTTGTTTTCTATGGGGTTAATTTTATTACTTTAGTTCACTTTACTCTTTATTATTATTGTAACTAAAGCTGGTGAGAATGAGATTATTCTTTGAAACTTTTTGCTGGGTATGAAGAGCGTGGTGGGGTTAGATTAGATTTGGCGTGTTGATTTAGTGTAAAATGAGAAAGGGTCGTAAAGTGTGGCTCTCACTTTGCCCTCAAAGATGGCTTTCTTAAAATACAAATTAAGAGAAGTAAGTATTTGAACGGATTGGAGGGGCTGGATTGTGGATGGGATGATGTATGTGCTGGCGCCTGCATCTGCATGGTGAGGTTGACGGAGTAATTTCGTAAATTCAAAGAAATGCGTGTGGGTCTCACACGGCATATGACTTCGGTATCTGGGTTAACATGCTAAACGTTAAAGTTGAAGTAAGATGAAGAAGATTATTTGGGAATAAACGCCACTGGAAATGGAAATGGAAATGGTGGCGGAATTCCTGGAGCTTATTCCTCTGTCCCTAAATTCCCTACAAATAGATCAAATATTAGACGGAAAAATAATCTCGAGTAAGAAACGTCGTGAAAGCGAAGGTAATGTAGTCAAATAGGATGTGTGCTTAATTCTTTTCCCTATTCAGTTTTTTATTGAGATATTTCATAGATTTTTTATTTATATAAAATAGGCATATTCATTTCATTTTGAAAATTTGCCAATGTCAATATATATATATATATATATATGGTATACAATTCGTATACGCATTATACGCTACGTGATAATTATGATTTATCTGAAGTTTGAGTTTTTGTAGGCATTTTTCATCCCGAAGAAAAAATTGTTTCTAATTAATTAGCAGTACTTTGAAGCTTCAGAGTTAATGAGCAACACGTTAACTATGATATCAACATAAATATGACCAGAAGAGATTTTGTTTTTGGTTAACTCACAGTTGCGTTTCCATTATTGTGTTTGCAGGAAGGCTCGTTGGTATTTCGAATACTTGAAAAGAAAAGCAATTACCGCAAAAAATTTATCCGGTTGACAGCTAATAATCACGCATCTCAAGAACAATTCAATTGTTATTATTATATTCGATTGTTAATGTAAAGCATTCACACTTAATTACATCAACACAATTCTCAGTCACAAAACCAATATAGGACAACAAAAAGCTAATAGTACATGAAGATTTTGCAACTAAGAAGAAGACTAGGTATATCGGACACAAACTTAAATTAGTAGGTAAATTTGACATTTAAAGGGAAAAGGAGTTCAGTTTCGGTCGCATCATGGCGTGTAGGTAATAAAGAGGTACTACAACTTATAAGGAAAATTACACTCAAATCCCTACAATGCATTTTAGTAGCACAAGATCTAATAACTGAACATAACAATACAACAAATATATGGCTGTCATTTTACCATGCTAGTTCTTAATAAAATATGTAGATTTTATAATATTTAATTGTATTTCGTAATATTTTTTTGGCAAAATATTTAATCATGTTTAGTTGTCAATGGATTTTAATATATTTAACTGTGTTGTGCTGGATCTAATTATAACTCTCTCTCTAATATAAAGTATGGGTTGAAGGTGATATGAACTATAATAAAGTGGGTGCTTTGAATAAATAAACATGTCAACCTAATTTAACCTTTCCTGAGTAAAGAAGAAACAGGCAGATTTCTTCGTGTTCTAGAAATAACGCTCCAACTTTGAACATGCCATCGCTTCGGCGCTCTTTTATTAAATATTATCATCCCCCACCCAACCTTGCATCTTAATCCTGTGAGTTTTTGGTCTTTTTAGCTTATCAATTTATTAAATTCCTCTTTGTTTCAGATCAAAGTTTGATTTTCCAGCATCTCTCCACCAAGGAAAAAGCAATATAAATATAAAGTATGAACGTTCACACCTTTTTTGTGCCCAACTTATAAAGACCAAACAAACGGAGAAGTTTCATCCACACATGGCAATTGTTCTTCTTCTTTTAATGCATGAAACACATTTTAGCCTTGCAATTTTAATGAACATATATAAATAACAATTTTATAATAAATTGCTAATTTTTAGATTGAATAAATGATAAGTATAATTCTTTAAAAATATTTAAATTCTTTAAAAAAAACTTCAAATAGCTATAATTTTTAATGGACCAATTGATATTTTCTAAACTCTCAAAAACGCATCTATACATATACACACTTGCTAATATACTCTACAATTGATTAATTGAAAACTCAATTTAGTTGCCCACAATTACCAAGGAAAGAAAAAAGTTGCTGGAGCAGTGGTGGTAGTACTGCTTGTTAATGCGTGCGTCTTATCTGGCACAATTTGCCTCACAATAAATGTAAAGCCAATCCAGTATTAGCCACTAGGTCATCTCTCCACCACAATCATCATCATACCAATTTCCCAATTTCGAAGTCCTCCCGCGACACACCCACCGGAGGGTCTCTCATTTTCCTTCCCACTTTTCTCTCCACTTCTGAATTTTCACCATTCATTATCATTTTATTAAATAATTTTTTAAATTATAAATAAATAAAGAGTAAAAATTAGAAAAATAAAAGAAGAAGAAGAAACTCCTCTCCTCACATGTTCTACATGTGTCCATCCAAATTGAAATAGTAGATTTTTTTAAAAAAAAATTTATATATTCACAATTTAATTTATAGATAATATAACAACTTCTATAATTCTCTCCGTTCAAAATATAAGTAGTTTAAAAAAAATTTACATATCAATAAAATTTTTATCATCATAAAAATATACATTCTTTTATTTTTTTACTTTTAATTTAGTTATTAATATATCTTATGATAAGTAAAATATAACTTTATATAAGGATTTAGATTCACGAATATAAATGAAAAAATGCAAAAAAATTTACATGTACTAGATTGATTATATTTTAAATTAAGATTAATTAAAAAATATTTATATTTTAGACGAGAAGGGGTATAATTATATATATATATATAACATTTTACGTTAATATAAATCATATTAGCAAGAAATTCACTCTTCTGTTTAATTTCATATTGTATTTCATTTCTCGAATTTCGTTAACGCGAATCCTTATCTAGTAAACAAAAACACAACTAAAAGAGGAAGCTGTACTCTTTCTTGTCCTCGTAAAGTACAATCTGTGTTCGACCAAAAAAAAAAAAAAAGTAAAGTACATTCCGTAGAAAAATGGTGGTGGTTAATATAGATATTTAGCAGGATATTCATTACATTGTTGTAATAAAGTTAAATGACAAATTAATCCCCAAATCACAGGTTTATGAGTATCTTTTATGCAGTATTCTTTTTTAACATTTAAAAATAATATAATTTAACTCATGTATTAATAAAAGTTAACTATAAATATTAATTATCTAAAAAATTACACAAAAGAGAAAAAAAATTACAGTAAAGGCTTCACAGATATAAATTAGGATCTAAAAAATCATAGAAAAAGATTAAGAATGGTTCTTTTTTATAATTTTTTATTATTTTTTGTCATTCTAGTCAATTAATGGTTAGAGTTAATTTTTATTAACGATAAAATTTAAATTGTATCATTTTTAAAAGTTGAAGAGAAACATCACACTAAAAATAAATTTAAAATCTTAATATTCTTAAATTTATTGTTTAATAGTCAATTTGCTCTTTTATTCTTCTTAATATTATCTCTAATTAAGTACGGGAGAGAATGTTGTAATGCAAATTTGGAACTTTTTTATTTAAATATGATAAATTTGGAGTTTTATTCTTTTTTAAACGAAATTAATAACTTAATCATGGTTTCGTACAGTAGTTAGAAATGTGTTATAAAAAAAATGGGGAGTATGTGTTTAAGATATATTTTCACGTTGTATTACGCTGTCAATGAACAGAAGACTTAATCCCTTCACAAGGGTCAGTGTAGAATTCAAATCTTCACACCTGCATGGCACTCTTTCTCTTTAGTCTTGTTGCGGTTGAAACAAGCGTTGGCGTTTACGGGACGCGAACATAATACGACTACAATGTTGTGCCCACATAGGGTGTTAATTATAATCTTCGGGTTGACTTGGTGGTCTTCCTCTCCTGTCCTCTAAGGATACAGTATAGTTGTGTCAAAATCCCAGTGAATGGAGCTTTCAAGGAGCATCGGAATTTGGAAAATGCATAAAGTTAAAGGGCAGGCCAAAGAGACAGGACGCAGACATGGCTTTTACGTTTTGGAAGAACCACTCACCACACCGTAACATTGGTTCTATCAGACTTGGACCATATATCCCAAGGTTTTAATTCTCTTTTAATAGAAACAGAAAATCTATTAATGAACCATCAACAAATACAGGTGGGAGTAATAACAATCGAGAAAACAAATTAGGATGATGATCAAAGAGACCCCAAGGTTTTAATTCTAGTACTTCTACTATCAAACAAATTAGGATCAAGCACTTTCTATTTTCAAAATGTGGGATCCACTCATGAACCTAAAATATTTAGCATTAGTTTGGAGGGAGGGAAGAATAGGGAGGAAAACAATTATTTTCAATTTTTTTTAATATTCTCTCTTCTTTATTTTTCTTCCTATCCATATAAAATATTAATTTCTGAAACTATACAAATCCGTCGCACTATATGGTGACAATTGGCATAGCATCTATATATCCCTTCGTTTTCCCCTTGTAAAGAGCTTGTGTACGTGTTAATTCATGTCATCGGAGTACTAGGTTTAATGTTGTCATTGCTATTAATGGTCCCCATTGGCCTAATAGCACCAAGACATCTTTGAATAGTGGAGTGTGTGTGAAGCTTTCTTATGAAAAAAGTGTAGAGTGTTCGAATTCGAATTTCACATTTCCACTTTTAAATGATAAAATGAATAGTTCAAATTTAATTGTTTTATAAAACAATTAATCAAAATATCATATAAAAATAAATAGATTTGAACTGTTAAAATTTGACTTTTGCAGTTAACAGTGGCGTGTTATTGTTAAACTTTTTTACAAATTAATTTTTATTTATTTCTTTTATTTTAGTTATAAACTGTGCACGTCAAATTTAATGTAATACTATAATAATTTTTTATAAAATAGTTAAATATAAATCATTCATTTTCTATCTATG